CTTTTCTCATAGGGTTTCCAAGCCAGTCGATTTCTCTTGTCGACTTCTAAACCCCAATTCTTCGCTCCCGCATTCGAGAGATGGCGGCCTGCTAAGGGTCACTGGTTCAAGCGACCATGTCAAGCGCTGCTCCAGGCGAGCCCCAGGCGATAGTACGGAAGCCCAGGGGTAAGAGGAAGCGACAAGAAGATGAGAATGATACCTCTACGCAAGAGAGTCAGAATGGTGTCGATTCTGTAGAGGACGGTCCATCAAATACCGACGATGCAGCGTCCACTGACACCCAGAAAAAGACCAAGTCCAGGAAAAGGGCTGCGCCGAAGAAGGCCGGGTCGAAACGGAATAGCACGGAAAGCGTAGCCCCCGCCGAGGAGTGCAAGATTGAGTGGCCTCAACGATTCAAGGACTTGGAGAAGACCCATCGCGCGCTCAATCTCGTCTTCACGTTTTGTTGTACTCGCAAACACCTCGCCACCACGTTTGAGACGATCAAGTCCTCAGTGGAATCGCATACAAAAACGTCCTTGACAGTCGAGGATATAGCTTCTATCGCCGCCATACGCCCTGAGGGCGTCAACTTTGCCTATGTCGACGAGATTATGCTGCAGACCGAGGTCAGGGGCGCCGAACGCGACGTGGTGTTCAAGAAAGGGCGGGATTTCCTCTCTCAGGCGCCTGCCCCGGACGCCTCTGTCGGAGGCATCTCGGGTCTCGAGAAGCTGGATCACCACCCCGATGAGGCTGTCGAGGGGGGAAAGGAAGTGCTGTACTTTGAGTTTGTGGACGGCGATCTGAAACGACAGGTCAAGGACAGGAAAACGGGCGAGATTATCAAGCCGAATAGGAAGCTGAGGGAGGAGACTCTCAAGATGCCCGTCTACAGCCAGAAGCAGATGACTAACTTGATCGAGAGGCGGAATCAGAGGTTCAACGATGCCATTATTTATTTCCTCAACCAGTGCGTTGCTGATGGGCTTGATCCCGATCTGAGCCTGGCGACGGCAACGGAGGCTCATATTCCTGTGCCGTCTACCATAGAGGAGGAGGGGCCAAAAGATCTCGGAGCTTTGCCCGAGTCCATCCCGACGGAGCGGAAGAGTGTCCCGGAGATTGTACAGGAGCTGAAAGACTGCTCTTGGTACAGTGGCCAGATTGTGCCCGACGGACACCGCGTCTTCGAGCCGCAGGAGCCCGTCTACGGCGATCTCAACTTCCTCCTCAGCCAGGATCTCGTGAATGCGCTGTACAACGCAAAGGGCATCACGCAATTCTTTGCGCACCAGACCGAAGCCATCAACGGCCTGCTCGAAGGGCAGCACGTCGTCGTGGCCACGTCGACGAGCTCCGGCAAGTCTCTGATTTACCAGCTGCCAGTGATCCACGCCCTGGAAGAGAACCCGCACACGCGCGCCATGTACATTTTCCCGACGAAAGCCTTGGCGCAAGATCAGAAACGGAGTTTGAGGGAGCTCATGAGCTATATGCCGGGTATGGAAGAAGTGCTCGTGGAGACGTTTGATGGAGACACCCCGATGAAGGAGCGCAATGTGATTCGGGAAGAGGCGAGAATCATCTTTACGAATCCGGATATGTTGCACATAACCATTCTGCCGCAGGAGGAGAGGTGGAGGACGTTCCTGAAGAACCTCAAGTATGTCGTCGTCGATGAGCTGCACTACTACAATGGGCAGATGGGTTCCCACGTGGCGTTCATCATGAGGAGGCTACGAAGAATATGCGCTGCCGTTGGGAACCGCCACATTAAGTTCATCTCGTGTTCTGCGACGGTAGCCAACCCAAGGCAGCACTTTAAGACGATCTTTGGCATAGAAAATGTGCGGCTCGTCGACTTTGACGGCTCCCCGTCCGGTATGTTTCCTGCCTGGCCCCGTTTCCATATTTCCATGGACTAACTTCAGACAGGCCGCAAAGAATTTCTCTGCTGGAACACGCCGTACAAGGACCCCGGAGACCCGGCAAGCGGTCGAGGTGACGCCTTGTTCGAATGTGCACGCCTCTTCTGCCAGCTCATGCTCAGGGGCGTGCGCATTATTGCCTTTACCAGAGTCAGAGAGCAGTGCGAGAAGTTGGTCACCGCAGTGCAGCAGGAACTGGAATCTCTCGGGCGGCCAGAGTGCGTCAACAGAGTCATGGGTTATAGAGGCGGCTACACGGCGCAAGACCGACGGCGAATAGAGTCAGAGATGTTCGAAGGTAAACTCCTCGGCATCGTCGCGACCACCGCCTTGGAGCTTGGTATCGACATTGGCACATTGGACTGCGTGCTAACCTGGGGGTTTCCCTATACCATTGCCAACTTGCGTCAACAGAGCGGCCGCGCCGGACGAAGGAACAAGGACTCGCTGTCGGTGTTGGTGGGCGACTGTTTCCCGACTGACCAACATTACATGCAAAACCCGGACGAAATCTTTTCCAAGCCGAATTGTGAGTTGCAGGTCGATCTGGAGAATATGCTGGTGCGAGAGGGGCACATCCAATGTGCCGCGTATGAAATGCCCATTCGGCCGGTGGAGGATGCTCAGTACTTTGGTAAGGATTTGCCCATCATCTGTGAGGAGAGGCTGGTGAAGGATCCTTTGGGGTTTTATCACTGCCACGATCGGTTCCGCCCTATCCCTTCGAGGTTCGTCGCCATCCGTGATACCGAAGATGATCACTTTGCCATTATCGATATTACACACGGTAAGAATGAAGTCTTGGAGGAGCTTGAAGCCTCGAGGGCAACGTTTACGATATACGACGGCGCCATTTTTCTTCACCAAGGGAACAAGTACCTCGTCAGGGATTTCCAGCCCGAAAAGATGATGGCGAGGGTGGAACGCGTCAAGGTCGAATGGACCACGACGCAGCGAGACTTTACCGACATTGATCCAATCGAGACGGAAGCCATCCGCAAGATCTCCGGATCCATGTCCAGGGCCTTTTACGGCATAATCAAGATCCAGCAGAACGTGTACGGGTTCTTCAAGGTGGACAAGAAGAAGCGCGTGCTGGACGCCGTGCACGTCGATAACCCGCCCGTCATCCGCTACGGCAAGGGGATGTGGCTCGACATACCGAAGAAAGCGCTACAGATCCTCGTCGACCGGCGCTTGAACATTGCCGCGTCGATCCACGCGGCCGAGCACGCCATCCTCAGCCTGATGCCCAACTTTGTCATCAGCCTACCGGGCGACGTCCGCACAGAGTGTAAAATCGCGCTCAAAGAATTCGCCAAGAAGGATTCCCAGAGGAAGAGACCTGGCCGACTGACGTTTTACGACGCCAAGGGCGGCGCCAGCGGGTCGGGCATCAGCACAAAGGCGTTTGAGCACGTGGACCACCTGCTGCAGCAGGCCGTGAAGCGAGTCGAGGACTGTTACTGCGAGCACGGGTGCCGGGAGTGCGTCGCGTCGGATCAATGTAAGCAGGCGAACGAGGTGATGAGCAAGGCGGGGAGTCAGGTGATCTTGAAGACGTTGTTGAACTTGGAGATTGATGTTGATGCGTTGCCGATGGGGCCGGAAGAGTATTGTCCTGCGGGGATTGAGACTGTTGTTGTGGCGCAGACTGTGCCTGGTAAGGATGGGGAGAGGGTGAGGGTTGTTGAGGTGAAGGAGGAGGAGTTTGATGAGGGGGATACGATTTTGTTGGAGGAGGTTGAGGTTTGGGATGGGCGGGAGGAGAAGGATGAGGTACGGGAAGATGGAGAGGTGTGAGGTTGTGATTGTAGGAGTTCGTACTGGGATTACGATATAGCCTACCGATACCACTCAAGGAACTCGAACACTGAAGGAGCATGAACAGAGTTAGCTGTTGTCGACACATCACACTGTGGTGTCTGTCTACCTATGATTACCCGTCTAAAGACACGTCCTCATCAACTCGCCCTATTCTGTCAACTTCAGGGGTTGAGTAGCCGAATGCTAAAAGATAAAGACGCAGGGGTGGTTTGTTCGTGACTAAAACCAGAAAGCGGCTAAGGATCTCTTTCCTGGGTCCTCGTTTGTGACGTTGCACTCTTCGTATGACACGTCCTCTTGTTTCTTCACTTTGAGGTACTCGGCTATCTGGACAAGACGGAGTATATAAACGGCGTTTCTATGGCCATGGCAGACAGTCAACAAGTGAATTGAAGTTGATTCCCTTCCTGGGGAAATAACACACATGATACGCCGTCCCGGTGAAAATATCACTGATGGTGATGGGTGAGTGGTGGTCATAGCAATACATGATAAATACTGGAGTCGACCTCGTTTCCTGTTCTATTGGGTTCTTCATCTTTGCCACCCCCTATCCGCACTACATCGACATCATGGAAGATGGCGCACTATTGTGATTTTGATATTCAACTGAGAACCAGCGACCTACTGAAGCCAGATTAAAAGGCAGGATCGAGTGATTAACGTACCTACCCAAACCGCTCTGCCTGGCAAATTTCTGCTTCGAGTTCCGTCTAGAACATCATCAAAATACGACATCGGCACCTCTGCTTGAGTATCACAACTACCTTCCTAGTCCAAGACACCTGGGGTTTTCAATAGATACCATCATCGTCTAGTCTAATTCTAAGCACTTCAGTAGACATTTCGATTGGGATGAAAAAGGTGAAGGTGAAAGCAAAAATGAACGGACCTACCAATCCAGAATTCGAGTGATCGGAACCTTGATGTAAACCAGAGACTGCAGAATTTAGTCAAAGATCAAGACCCTCTACCCGTCGACCTCCAGAGCCTTTCGTGCTGTTGAGGGCCGTGAAGCTGATCATAAGGTGAGGGAGGACAGGCAGGCAGCATCAGATGAGGGAGAGACCCGTTCGTGAGGGTATATTCAAGTAATGTGAATACACACCTCACCCCATCGCTCCCTCCCATGGGTGATGCCTTTTTTCCTTCCCTCTTTCCCTCGACAGCCTAAAGACCGCCCACGAACTGCCCTTGACTGAATCCTCCTTTCTCATTCCTATATGTATCCCCCTTCTTATCCTCTCCTCTCTCGTCCATCTTTTTTCCTTCACGCTTCCACTCACGCTTCGACCTTAGCTTTAAGATCGCCTTTATCACCTCTTTCTCTTGCACGATCATATACGTTAAGCGTCAAGACGTTGATCAACTTACATTAGACCGAAAGCTTTCCCCAATGTTTTCGGCATCAAGTATCTCCATCTCAAACCAGCGCCCTCGTCCATTGACGGTAGCACCCAGACAGCAATCAGTACATCGCTCTCTTTGTGCCCTATCAACTTGAATTTTCACTGACATTCACGATAGAAATGGCTCAGAACGATGCTCAAAGACTTGCTCCCCACGACCAGGTCCTGGCGTCATGCTTGGCCCGGCTCGACCTCGAGAATGCCCAAGCTCGAAGGGCCTCTGCCGCTCCTGTGGCTGCCACAGCTGCTGTTGGTGGCAAGAGTGGTGGCAGCACGAGCAGCAGCAGCAGTCTGAGCGGTCTCGGTCGTGGCGGAAGCAAGACTACAGGAATTCAAGGTGGCACCATGGTTAGAAGAGCATCAGCTGCAGGCTCCCTCAACGGCACCCTCAAAGCTGGACCTTCCAACACTGCCGACGTCGAGCAGCTGGTTTGCATCGACACACAACCCTCCAACGCCAGCAAAATAACTACAACAAGCCATAGCAGAGGCTTTGCTCCAATGCGTATGGTTGCTGAGCAGCGGGGCCAAGTCACTCATGCACCTCACAAACAAGCGATCTCACGGTTTGCAAAGGAGTTCTACAACCTGCCGTCCAACTACGCTGGCGACGCTTTGAACCTTCGCAATCAAAGTGCGGCATGCAAGGATGAGGAGAACACAGCACTCTTCATCCCCGAACTTCCAGCCAATTGCACTCATACGATGCTGCTGGGAGCTGTTGCTCGTTGTGCGCCAGTGGGGAAAGTCTATGCAGCCGTCATCAACGCTGCCAAACCAGCTGAAGGGCAGCTTTGTGCCGCAGCAAAGATGGTATTCTTTGACCGGGCTGGCGCTGAGAATTGCTTTAAGGCCATCAAGCAGGGAAGGCTCATTGTCGGAGGGCGCCGTCTTAGAGTTGTCTGGAACAGAACCAAGTCTGCTGCACAGCCAGACACCAGCAACTCAAGGGTTGTTCTAATCCCGGGCCCGTCTGGGTTGGTCAAACGCAATGAGCTCGAACACTGGTTCTCAAAGTACTTCGAGTACCAGACAGAGAGCGTCTTGGTTCGCAAGCAGACTGGACCCCAGGTTACAATGCTGGAATGGCGGTTTGGAAGCTTCCGAGCACAAGCAGAGGCCGCTACTTTACTCCTTGGTCAGGAGGAATTTGGGAATACGAAGTTGGAATGGCATTGGGGAGTGGACCCTTGCGCCTAGAGATCTTCCAAACTGTTGGAAGTAGAATCGGCGGATCGGTTGTTACGGCACGGGAAGTGCGGGAAGTCAGAACGCCAGAAGGTTAGTGTTGGCGAGGCTGGCTGGGAGGAAGTGGACATTGTTTTGGATGTTTTGGGCGTTTTGAGATTTCGTTTTTAGAAGAAAATACAACCAAAGACACGATTACGGTCGACCAAAAGGGGATGTGCACCAGGATATGCAATGGAAAGTCAGAGTGAATGCAGGCAGATCAAAGAAGCTTTTGCCAAGGGGACAAGCTGGGATGGAACGGTTCGCTCATCGGGGGGTGGAGGTGGAGATGCGCTGTGCGACGGTGTCTCAGGCTGTGTGGAAGCTCGTGGCATCTTGCTTGGGTGCTTGGCTTTGTCGATGGCAGACCCAGTTGTTCGTCTTGGGGAGATCCTAGTGTGAGTCTTTTCCTCTTGGCTGGTCTTGGCTCATATCGGCTTCATCTTGGTTTGACCTGGTTCGACATTTGGTTTTTGCTTACTACAGTAGGCACCGATCGTAGGTTCTCGGAACAATGGGCGTTATAGGCCCAGGTCTCTTGGAGTTGAGCCTCCCTCGTTCCCCCGTCCTCTTCCCCGTCCCTCAGCCCCCTTGTGTTGTGCGCGCGTTCCGTCAAAAGTCTGTGCTTGGCTGCCTCCCTCGGAAAGTTCAGGTGTCCTTACTTTGTGTTCCGTCCGAAAAAAAGTCAATTGTATGGACGGTGGTTCCTTGCGACTTCAGGGCGGGTTGCAGTTAGACGCATCGGACGCCCGCCCGCCTGCTGCATAACTTTGCCCAGATGCTGAGGTTTTGAGAGAAGCCTCGGCACTTTACCAGGAACCGGGAGACTACTGTGGCAGACCAGACAGTGACACTATCCGTAGAAGGGAGGACGGAGATGAGAAGCAACGTTCCCCCATGTCAGCGTGGTCATTGATTATGGACAACTTTTGAAGAAAAAATGATGAAGGCAGTGGCTGGATGCGCGTGGAACTCTGAGAAATCTTGAAATGAAAGTCTTGGCACAATCTCTTTAACTGGTGGAGGAAGAGGGAAGGAAGACGGTAGTGACGGTAGTGACGGTAGTGTGCAGGATTGCAGCAACTTGCAGTAAGGTACCTACTCAGTGCTGGCGTTGCATTCTATTAGGGAAATGCTCCGGGACTTTGATGGTCTTCAGGGGTCTGCGATGGCTTTGTGACGTCGTTTGGCGTCGTTGGGCTGCTGCTTATCTGCACGACGTTTTGTCTTGGCGAATATTTCCTCCCTCCCCCCCCCTTGCCTGCATTACCGCCAGTCTGTGAGTGGTGTCGCTTCTTTTTGATGATGCAGGCTGGCTGGAGTCTGGACAACGCGAAGGTGAAAAAACAACAACAAACCAAAACATAACATGAAGCCTCGATACACGAATGGACCAGGCTTCCAGAAAGCAGGGCGTGTCTGCCTTTCCTATCGTCCGTACCTTACCAAGGACTCAAATTCCAATTACCACCTCTCTCTCTCTCTCACGCGTCGCATCCTCACACACGGACGGGAAAAAGTATCTTGTACTTTTGGTTTCACGGCATTTCAGGCGGCGCCCGTCGAACGAGCCAGCTGGCCAGGTGTACCCATACATACACACACACACACACGTACGCCCGCCGTCGCTCTCTCTTCCCAAGTTCCCACTCGTCCAACAATGCACAGGGGTTCTGTCAGAGCTCTTGGCATGACAGCAAGCTTGGCTGTGCCTTGATTCACCGACTCTCAACACGCCTCTCTCTCTCTCTCTCTCTCTCTCTCCCTCCCTCCCCGAGCAAGGTTTCTCTCGCTAGTATTGAGTCTGCATGTGTATCCGTACCTTTTTTCTTTTTCTTCGGCTCCCCTTGCTACATATGCTGCGAAGCCGAACATGTCACGAACTCTCTTGCTCTCTTTCGGATTGATGTCCCCTCAAACCACCGGTCCACCGTACACAGTTCAAGCATCACTTGCACAACAGCAACAAGACAATACCTAGATTCATACTCAGGTTTCCCCTTCTCACCGACTGGTCAGCAGCGAGAGAGAGAAAGCTCAAGTTGAAACGTACTCGCCCCGAAACCCCCCCAGGCCCGGTCCAGCCCAGCCCCCCCGGACAACCTTGAACACACAACCCCTGCTACCGCTACCACTACCCGCGGCCACCACATCACCGACGGACTGGACCACGTTGATCAAGACTGGGGAACGAAGGGCCCTCACTTCTTCTCCATCTCTTGGAAATCCGTTTATTATATCCCCCCTTCCCCCATCTGCTGTTCGTCCAGCCACACTGTCAAAAGTCTTGGTATTGGGGCTGTTCCACACTTCTTCACCGTTCCTCATCCCAGTGATACAACCTCGGTGTACCCGCCTTCTTCGACTCCATATAAGATATACTTCCCGCCTTCACAGCATTCCCACTTCCTCCAAGTGAAGCACCTTAGCAAATACATAGTATATCCTGTCTAGACAAACATAGACGACTCAAACCGCCGTCATGTCGGCTCCGAGGTCACCCTACCGCCAGAGCCACAGATCGTCAACCGATGGACGATCACGGCGACGAGAATCAAACCACCCCATCATCCCTCCCGAAAAGGCACGCACTTCCAACTACTCTTCCCGCGGCGGCGACGAGCTGCCGAGTCACAATGGGCACCTCCACCGAAAGCCTCCGCCAGGTAGCAAAGTCAGAGTCAAGCCGTCCGGCGAGAGTGGCCGCAGGGGATTTCACCCCTTCAAGTTCCTCAAGATTTCCTGGAAATCATCAAGTCGAGCTTCCCTACTCTGCAACTTCCTCTGGCCATTTGTACCTGCCGCTTTTGCCGTTCGATACATCCGACCAAACGACCATGTCCTCATCTTCATCCTCACTTACATCGCCATGATCCCCTGTGCCAACATGGTTGGTTTCGCCGGCCAGGAGCTTTCCCGGAAAGTCAGCCACGTCTTTGGCGTGCTGATCGAGACGACGTGAGCCAAGCCCGTTATTCTGCCGCAGTATATGATGCTAATTCTATTTCGCAGCTTTGGATCCATTGTCGAAATCATCCTCTTCATGGTACTTCTCGCCGGAGACCAGTTCACCGTTATCAAGGCTGCCATCCTGGGATCCATCTTGGCAACTATGCTTCTCTGCTTGGGATTGTGCTTCATTGCCGGCGGCATGCGACGAGATGAAGCCGAGTTCAGCGAGGTTGTCAGTGAGGCAGGTAGCGGCTTGCTCCTCACAGCGTAAGTAGAAACCTTTCCACTGACGATGTTCACCCGATGTTAACAACCGTGACCAGCGGTGTCGCCCTCGCCATCCCGACCCTCTTCGCCAACTCGCTCGAAAACCAGCTCACGGTCGAAGAACTCGGCAGCAAGACCCGCCACATCTCCCGCATCGTATCCTGCCTCCTCATCATCGCCTACGCCGTCTACGTATACTTCCAAGCCCGCACCCACCACGGAATCTACGACGCAATCTTTGAGCACGACGAGCAGCGCGATCACGACAAGCGCAAGGACATCAACAAGCCTAAGCTGACGCTGACTGAGTGCCTCGTCGCCCTCGTCATCTCCATTACCCTGGTGACGTTCATGGCCATCTACCTCGTCGAGCAGATCGCGCCCATTGTCGAGAAACACAACATCTCGGACCCATTTATGGGCCTCATCCTCGTGCCCCTTGTCGAAAAGGCCGCCGAGCACCTGACGGCCGTCGACGAGGCGTGGGACAACCAGATGAACTTTGCGCTGTCGCACGTCCTCGGCGCCACGCTGCAGACGGCGCTCTTCAACGCGCCGCTTGTGGTTATCGTCGCGTGGGGTCTGCACAAGCACATGGATCTCGTCTTTGAGGTGTTTGATATTGGCATGCTCATCTTGGCTATCCTGACGGTTGGAAATTTCTTGAGGGATCAGAAGAGTAATTACCTCGAAGGGTTCTTGAGCGTGACGATTTACGTTGCTATCGCTGTGGCTGCGTTTTACTATCCCACGCTACATGGCGGTGCTGCTGCAGAGGGTGGGGGTGCGGAAGGGGGCCATTGAGGCGGCGTGGGGATATGTATGTGTATGAATGGGATGGGAAGAAAAGGAAATAACAATAACGATAGTCACGAAAGAAATGTACATGATTTCTTCTTTTCTGGGAGGTACTATTTACGGGGAGTCCAACGGTGTATAATCAAAGAGATTGGTCAAATTGCAACATGCAAAGTGCCTTAGTCCCAATGGCTCTACACGTTATATCGCATAATGAGATGTGAGACAGAACTTGCCATGATCAGTCTGATATTGCATTGCTAGGAAGGATACATATCGGCTGGGTATCCGCAGCGCCCACCCCCATGTCACGCGTGTAAGTGCAAACGAAGCGAAGCTTGTGTGCGAAATCTTTCCTTGCTCCCCCCCCATCCCGCGGAGATATCCAAATACGCCGTTAAAAACTGAAAGGAGCCCCCCGCTGATAAGCAACAATTTGTAAACATGCCGGTTTTCCGCCCCCGACCAAAAAGATTTGAGTTAAAGCCTCCCTTCGGAGATGCTCGATTCTCTGCAACTACCTAACTCTCCATCTCTCTAGATGCTCTGTCGTTGATACAAACTCCACCCACACCCTCCATCTAGACTACGGCCCGGCGCGGTGGCGGCTCTGTCTGCTGACCAGGGAGGGGACCTGTGTGCCGAACTTCCGAGATCCGTGGGCCCGGGGTCACGCGAACGGGGCGTTTTGACGCCCCCTAAGATGCAGAGTTGGCTACCGTAACTTTTTTGGACAGTGACTAGAAGAATAACAAATCGTCTTCCTTCCATCCGAGGCTAGCAAGACTGGCGCGAACCCCCTTCTCCAACGGTTCCGGTCCGCAGACGAGGACGAGCTCATCGTCGCCGCCGCCGCACTTGCCCACCTCCCTCTCGAAAAAGGCGGCGTCCATGCGACCCGTCAGCCCCGTCCACTCCGGCGCGGGTTTCGTTAGGGAGTACACCAGCCGGCACTTATCCGGCCCGGCGGCGGCGGCCATGGCGTCGAGCTCCGCGCGGCAGAGGATATCCTGCTCGACGCGGTTGCCGTCGAGGACGAGGCACGTCGTCGGGTCAGCTTCATCTTTGAGTACGGCGCGGAGGACCTGGAAGATTGGCGTGATGCCGGAGCCGGCACAGATCATGACGAATCGTTTCACGGTGCGGTGTTTCCCCGAAATGGAGCATAACCCCTTACCGAGGTACTCAAATTTGCCAATGGGGCCCTTGAAGTCGACAAAGTGGCCGACGGGGATGGCGTCGAGGGCCTGCGTCATCTTACCGCCCGGCTGGCCGCCGGGGGCGTCGTAGTAGATCTTGACGAGGACGTGGAGTTGACCCCGTTCGGTGCCCTCTGATATGGGTGTGTAGGCACGGATGATGGCTTCGCGGGTGGCGGGGTCACGGAGGCGCATCATGAGGTGCTGGCCGACGGGCAGCCCGGCGATTTGGTTGGCGTGTTCAAGGGTGAAGGTGAAGATTTTGGTGTCGGAGGAAATTTTCGTCTTTCTCGAGAGGATGCCCTTTGTCCAGGTCTTGGACTGGAGGAAGACGGCGCGAGGGGAGGCTTGGGCGTCTACTACTACGACCTCGCCTTCGCTTAGAATCTTTTGGGCTGCGGAATCGAGGGTGCCAATGTGGTATTGAGGCATCATGGCCTTGGCATTTTCGCTGTCTTGAGGGATAGTGTTAAAACAAGGCACCTTGCAAAATGGGATGGCTGCAAACTCACGAATGGTCAAGAACTCTTCTGATACGTCCTGCGCGGCTGCTCCAAAGATGGATGCTGCACCTCCAGGATGGCCTTCTAAGAAAGGGGTGCCGTCGTACACTTCGTTGTTAACGACGAACCAAGGCTCCTCTTCGCCCTCGTGCTGGCGCAGCTCGTCAATGGAGATGGCCCGCTTGACAGTGTCCTTGGTCATACAGATTTCCTTGACAGGCTCCAGCTCTGTGGTATTGTCGGTCTCGCCCTCGACCTTCTCACCCCAGAACCCGTTGGCCAGGTTTCCACCGGCCTTCTTGACGCGGTCCATCCACCCGCCCGGCATGAGAGCCGGTTGCGTGGGGTGCTCGAAACGAAGGCTGTGCCCTTCTCTGTGGATGACGACCCTGAACCACGGATTGTTCATCATGCCCAGAACGCTCCAGTACATATCTCTCGGCTGCACCATCATGCCCTCGTCCATGGCGCGGACCATGACGTCCGCCGCGTCCGCGAGGTGGGCGACGGGGATGTCCAGGTCCCAGAAGCACCAGCAGAAGCAGCTCTCTCTCCAGTCCATGTCCACGCGGCCGCCGTAGAGGGTTTCGCCCTCGGGAGCGAGTCGATACGTATCTTCGGGGTAGTTGATGTTGGCGAGGAGCCAGGTCTTCCCGCGGTCTAGAGTTATTTCTACTCGGGTGATGCGTCGTCCGCCACCGCCATACGCGTATCCGCGGACGTTGTAGGACTCTGGACCGTTGGTCAGTGGCAGAATCTCGTCGTGCGCAGGGTAGCAGGTGGCGCTATTCGTGTTGAGGTCGTAGATGGCGTAACGTTCATCTTTCCACACTTCCGGGAGGTCGGCGCTGGCATCTGGAGAGACCATGGTAGGGAGCACGCGGTTGTCGTAGATATGGTACCAGTTGTCACTCGGCTCCTTCGTCACGATGATCTTCTTGAGCCACTTTACGCTTCTGCCGCCGATCTGCCCGGGAATAATGATGCGTACTGGCTTTCCGTGGTCGGGGTGCAGCAACTCGCCGTTCATGCGGTAGCAGACGGTCACACCGCGGTTGGGGTCCATGCACCAGTTGAGCTTGATGCTCGTTCCATAGTATCCGTTGGGCAGCTTGTCGGCGCCCTCGAAACAGACGTATTTGGCGCCCCTCTTGGGCATGGCTTTGGCGAGCAGGTCGCCTATGGAGACACCGGTCCAAATGGCTGTTGACAGGCCCGCGGCGCCCCATGAGAAACCTTTGGACTTCCTAACCATGTTCTGTTCTTTCCGGCGGTTGCCAGCACATACGAGGGTGACAGGGTAGGTGATCTGCTCGTAGTCTGAGATGAGGTCTCTGAGTGTCATTTTGATGGGGTTCTCGACCAGGCCCTCGACGGTGAACTCCCAGTCAAACATGTCCTCGTCGTCGACTTTTGGCACGGGACCGTGGTTGCGTACATAATGCAGGTCTTTGGTGGTGATGAAGCCTTCGTCGTACAGCTCGGTCAGGGGAGCCTCGACGTTGAAAGGGTGAAGTCCCGTTAACCGTATGAGTCTAGGATCTCGGGTGACGTGGCTGTCGGGTGTCTTGAGGTCTTCCGTAAGGACCTTGTTGACTCTGGACTTGGGAGGTAGGGGATATGTGCGGGGCCCCTCAACGATGACCTCGTCTAATAAGCATCCTGATATTGAGCAGTCTGATCCGCCGTCGACGCTATAAGATTGACCCTCTCTTACTGTCGTTGCCGGACTTGGAGGGAAGCTGAGCTCCTTTTTGGCGTGTGATTCCCGTAAGGATATCATTCCAGGAGCGGGGAGAATATCCATGGTTGATAATCGCTGTCTATGAATGCCTCGTAGGCGTGATGAGGAAGAGTGGATGAAGCTGAGCAGGATAGGCCTCCGGGTAACAGTTGTCTTAGTCGTTGATGACAATCATAAGCTAGCCATCAAATTGCTTAGACACTAGGTAGGAATTACTCAAGTATCAAACGAGAAAAACAAGGCTCGATGCAAAGTCGCTATGGAGCAGAGTAGATAGTCAGAAATCATGAGAGAAAAGAGAGAATTTACGGACGCCGGGCAAGGATGGAATAAGTAACAGTGATGAGTGGGTTTGGGTTGGTGGAGGTGAGAATTGGATTTCCTGGGGCCGGAGTCTGGTGTCTGTGGTGTGGGCGGGCCAGACGCACGACAGGGGGCGAGGGGGATGGGGAATTGCTGCATGGCATGACATGACATGGCAAGTACTTCGTACGGATACATGGCCAAAGATATTAGGCCTTGCTTGGGGATCGGGTGGGATAGTACAACATCGCATCATCAGATGGAGGTGACGCTAAGATAAAGGCTCATCGGGAAAGGGCCGTGGACAGGCAGGATCATCTTTCCGAGAAGCGTCGCTGACGGGTGGACAAGAACGTACACAATAAGATAATTAGAGAAAGTCCCGCCCTTGTACAGAACCTGCCGTGCCATATTCCATCCTCGCCAGAGACTTTAGCTTGAGTGCCCTCGTTGGCCTTGGTGAAAGTGTCGTGTAAGTGAAAAGACGATTCGCCGGCGAATGAGATCGACCAGACGGCCCCGAACCTGGCGACTTACCCTATTCGACGGGCACAGGACGGCGTGAGGCGAGGAGATGTAACATTCCAGCTAGGAAGGGAGTGGGCTCTACGTGTTGAAGAGTTCCGCGGAAGAAGACACACACTAACACTACTGGCAGGCTGGAGCGGGATTCTTATCAGTTGGCGTCATTTTTCTCTTGGACAGTTTGACGTTGGCGGTTGGACTGATGCCATTGGGGCGATAAGGGTTCAAAGCAACGGACGAGGGAAATCTCAGCGGAGATGCTTCATTCGACTTTTCCTCTCTTTATCGGCTCGGCATTTCCAGGTCCTGGATTGGTCAAATGGTTCGAATGGAACCCCGATCGGGATCCACGCGCCCCTGGGTCCGGGAATGGCCCGTGGAAAGGGTTAAGAGGATCCCGGATCGGGGGAGGGGGGGTTCTCTGCCCATGCCCGTCCGGTTGGCGGCCGCATGAGCCGTACTTACCTCGTCTCTCGAGGCCGCACTTAATCATGTTCACATCTAATTTTGTAGACCTATTGCGCTTGTTCAAGCTAAAAAACGGGAATTGGTTATCAGTTGCAACTGCCGCACCAATGCTGTAATGGTCAGCAGGGTGGTGAGATCTGTTTTACTATTGACAAGTTCAGTGATGCATTATAACAGGTTTACAATCTTCAACCTGACAATCGTTCACCTGTCGTCGGGCTAGGTCTCTTGACCCCGTCATCCTAGGGTCATCAACGTGGCACGTCGCACAACTTGACTCCCATCACGACGGTTTGCGGAGATTTCTCTCGTGTTGCCTGTAACACTCATGTCGTGGTTCATGATTAGCGTCGCCCCGTGAATGTGGCGACGCGAATCTGGAGAGCAACATCGTGGCTGGCAGTGAATGACTTTTCATCGTTCGCTGCGTGACATTTGATTCTACAGACAACAGTGCGACTCAACGTAGGAGAGCCTCGGATGAGGCCAGAAGTTTGGACCAGCCACACCTTCAGCGTTTGTGTTTCCGTATTGCGTAAAGTTTTAGTCACAAACTATACGTGTGGTGTTGTGGCTGATTTGTCGATAATAGGATTGGCAGGCTTCCGCTCTTGATCCTGGTACACCCGCCATTGGCCAATTGAGATGTTGATTCGTGGTAATTGAGCATCAGCATGTTGACTCTGGATTGGTGTTCGTAACTCGTTCCATCTTTCCTCCAAGGCAGCACGTCTCATTCTCATGGCTGAGCCCGTAGGTGGAGAGAGAGGCATTCATCGCGAAGCCACAAAAATGGGCGTTCGGCAGAAATGTGCAAGACTCACCCAAGCTTGGGGTTCCCAAGTTTGGCTTAAAATCTCCATATACCGGTGCTTTAGGTAGTAAGCACTCATTAGTCGATATGAAGACTTCTCAAGCGACTGACTAGGTGATATTTTTGAACTTCGTGAAGTATCGTGACGGGGAGGCTTGATGGTCCCGTCTTTCTCTCACTTCCGCATCAACGTAAATCCTTCCGACAATCATCCAGGTTCTAAGTGCTCAGTGAGGTGATTGTGGGAAGTGAGGTGGGCCTGTAAACGACAAAGGTACCCAAAGCGCCGGGTCATGACGCTCACCGCCCGGACCACCAAGATGACCGTGGAATGCGACACCCAAGGCGGCAAATCAGATGCTACCTTCAGTGCTTGGGTGTGCCTACTCACCTAAGCTACAGGCAATCCACAGCAGGACCCATGCGCTGAATAAGTTCCTCCCTCCGAAACTCTCACTGCAAGGCGCCTGTGACCCTGTGCAGCCTTCCCCATTGCAAAACCTGGAGGGCTCTCCGCGACCTTCCTGAATCTCCAAGGTCGCTCGCTACCAAAAACCCACTAAATGCAACCGCCACCATCGCTGCCCTGACTTGGTGCAGATCCAGCAGCGACAGGCCACCCGACGGCTCCTCACCTTCACCTCAGGTCCAGAATTCTCTCAGCACCGCCAACACGATCGCCAACGACGCCATTCACACGAACCCGAACCGACACGACCACTTGCCCCTCCAGGCAAGGCCTGCCGCTGCGAACCACTTTACCGATGCCGGCCCATGTTGACGCGCAGAGTCACATTCGTTTACAACACTCGATCCCATAGCATCAGCTCCCGACATCATCAGTGCCATCCTGCCCTATGTAGCGCTCGTCCGCTCTCAACCCTTGCATATACAACACCCGATTCTCACGATCCGCCATGGATCGTGCCAGGAAGCGTCAGTTCTGCCCACTCGCCCGCCGCCTTCTCTTCTACTATTCGACACCTTGCTAACAATCATTCAGGTGAATTGCGCTCCCTGAACACCCGCGCTTGGGATGGCGAGCAAGGTTCGTACATCAGGTCCAAACCCCACCATACCCAACACCCCTCCTCTGACTTGGTTCTCCTACACAGATCTGTTTGCTGTCAGCAAATCTCTCGATTCATCTCTCAAGAAAAATACCGCCTTCATCAAGCGCCTTCGAACCGCCGTATCAGCCGCGACCCTAAACACTTTCCTCCAAGAGATCCGCACCCTCAGCCTGCACAAGTACCTCTCCGAAATTGTCTCAGCCTGCTTCGAGGGTCTATGCCGACTCAAGTCCCCCGGCGAGATCGAAGCCGGCGTCGAAATCGTCAGCGCTCTGCACCAGCGCTTTGGCCCTAGCGAGTTCACCGAATACCTAGGATGGCTGCTTGGGAAGGGAATGGCAACGCCCGACAAGAGCTTGCTCAAGTCGTTGGCACCCGAGGTTCGCGAGAAGGAGGAGAAAGAGCGCTTGACGCGCCAGCGTGTGCTCTTGCGCATTGTCACCGAGCTTTGGCTGGTTGATGTTCTGCGAACCCTCGATGACGTTACACGGCCAGACGATGCTACCAAGGGCGCCACGGGCAAGGTTGCCGAGCTGAAGCCTAGAGCGCAGGCAAACAGGAGCGGCGCTACCGAGCCCTTCCCTCTCGAGGTATTGAAGGATCTGTTAGGCCACGATCGGGAACACGTCAACTTGCCTCTACTCGTCATCTTCGTAAAGGCTTTCAGCTGGGATATCTTGGGCGTCAAGTCTACGGTAGCCGAGGGACGAAAGACTGTCGAGGAGGACGGTGCGACCAAGACCGCCAACGGAATAGTGCACGGCGAGAGTGGCGGCGAAGACCAAGTCAACGACACCGAAGATCAGCCGGTCACGCCCCCTGAGCTTCAAGAGAAGTTCAAGACAATCCTTAAAAAGTACTTCGAGGACGTCAAGAGCCATGTTGTCCGAGACCAGAAATCGATTCATTCTCAAGCTCGCCGTAACGCCGAAGCCTATGTCAAGTCAGGCGAAGTTTTTGAAGATCGACAGGCCAACTTTGAGAAGCAAATGAAGGCCCAGGAGCGGCTGGTAGCCAATGCTCAGGCCATTGCTGACGCCATTGGCGCTGATATGCCTGATCTCAAGGAGAGCGATGACTCGCTGGGCAACACCAATGGCTCGATCGGTCTGGTCAAAGCCGGTGACTATCTTCGAGGTCTTGGTGACGGTGCTGGAATATGGGAAGACGAAGATGAGCGACGCTTCTACGAAAATCTCGTCGATCTCAAGGGCAAAGTTCCGGGCATTCTCTTGGACGACGGCAAGAAGAAGAAGTCCGATAACGAGGAGCAAGTGGGCAAGAAAGTGGAAGTCACCGAGACAGCTGAACTGCCCAAGGTCCCGGACGCCGCTGAAGACCAGTCCACCTCCATTGCCAACAAGACGATTGGCGCTCAGGTGGATGCAGTGTTGGCTCGCCTGCCAGATCTCACCAACAAGGATGTCATTGACCAAGCCGCTATCGACTTCTGCTACCTCAACTCGAAAGCCTCGCGTAACAGACTGATCAAGGCTTTGACTGAAGTCCCCAAAGGTCGCGGCGACCTGCTGCCATCATGGGCTAGGCTCGCTGCTACTTTGGGTAGATACATGCCGGATATCCCCAAAGGTCTCGTCGACTACCTTGATGCCGAGTTTCGCAGTCTGCAGAGACGAAAGGACAAAGACTTCCTCGGCCAAGTTCGCTTGAGCAACATTCGTTACCTTGCTGAACTGACCAAATTTGGCATCGTCCCAGAGCATGTTGTGTTTCATTGTCTCAAGGTCAGCCTCGACGACTTCTCGAGGATGAATATTGAGATTATCTGCAATCTCCTAGAGAACTGTGGGCGGTACCTTCTGCGGAACCCAGAGACCTCACCACGCATGGCAACATTTCTCGAGACATTGCAACGCAAG